TTAAATATTTTGTAAGTGCATTTCTCATGTTCATCTGCAACTTGCTTCTTTTTACGATCTACTGCTCTTGATGTTGTAGTTACTCTAATGATGGTGGCCGAAATTATTTTAGAAAATCTGAAATAGTTTCGCCCACAGACATTGGGAGTTTAGGCTCCTAAACTAGTGGTGAAACTCAAAAATTGCCTAAACCGTGGGCAAAACTCCTAAACCGTGGGCAAAACTCCTAAACTGTGGGCAAAACTCCTAAACTGTGGGCAAAACTCCTAAACTGTGGGCAAAACTCCTAAACTGTGGGCAAAACTCCTAAACCGTGGGCAAAACTCCTAAACCGTGGGCAAAACTCCTAAACTGTCAAACCTATGATTAAAAAATTCATAAATAACAAAACTTTTACATATATTAATTACAGTCAGGGTTTTTACCAAATTTGGAAATCGATTCTAGAATGATCTACATAATTTTAATAGGCTCTTGTGTATTCATTTCCGTTGTAAAAACTTATGTTTCATGTGACTTTACACAAATAAATTTTGTTGTAATTTTAAACCATATCATAAAAATAAACAAACAAGTATTCATATTTTAATAATCACCAAAGAGTTTGAAATAATCACCCAGACTTCAAAAAGTAAATGAGAGCTAAAAAATTGAAAATTTGCATATTTTTTATGTTGAGTCGTGGAAATTAATAATTTTTTTATAATAATAATAATAATTTTATTATTAGTGACAGAATACCAAAAGATACAAGCCAAAGATCTTCCATGTATTTTTGCTAACTTAGTCGATCTATACACAGATAAGGGCTTGAAACCATGTGCAGTAAAGAAGAATCAAACATGGCGTTATGCTAGTAGTAAAGCAGCAGCTGAAAAACTACAAGCCTGTCATAACTATATCCCTGAACTCATTCATATTTCATTAAATTCTTTTTCTGTTTGTGAGGTACATTATAACCAAGTTATATCTACTAATAAATTTTATGAAACTCTCTCAAATTTAAATACAGGCAAAATTGACACTCCTGTTGTAAAAAAAAAAAGATCACGTGGAAACAATACTTCTAGCATTAATACTGACACAACTGTTCAGTTTACTGAAGCAGAATTTGCCAACAATGAATCTGTTCCTATAGAAGAATTCCAAAGAATAAAAAATTTGTTGGAGTTACGTGAACTGGAATGTTGGAACAAATCACAACTTATTGTAGAACTTAATAATGAAATCACACAACTATCACATCAATTAGAAGATCAAAATCATGAAATAGATGATTTAAAAAAGAAATTAATTGAAGTACAGGATCAAAACAAAGTTCCTTATGAGCAGTGGAATTCACATATTGAACAACTGTCACATCAACTTGGAACTCAAACCCATGAAATAAAAGATTTAAAAAAAAAAATTAGTTGATTCTTACGATCAATTAACTGAAGCAATGGAAAAAAACAAAGTTCTTGTTGAGGAATGGAATTTGCATTTTAGCAATCAGCCAAAACGTATAAATTCTATTATAGAAATTGCACTTGCTGAACGTGATTCTCTGTATGAGGATATTGAATCATTAATTAGAAATAATAATAGGTTCTCATTAGAAAACATTATGAATTATACTCCTAAAACTTGGTTAAATGGACGTAACCAAGTTATTGTAAAGTTCATTGAAACTCTAACTCAGAATACAAATACTTACTATTCTGATGAATTAAGCCAAGAAAAATTCTTCAAGAGAGCTGTTGCAGTTGATGCAATATATGGTTCACGTCATGGTAAATATGTATCAGAAATTAATCTTGCAGCATCAGCTGTAAAATATTCCATGGTACGTTCAAAAAAAGTCATTAGCATAGATAACCATATAACAAGCGCAGGGAGTTATTCTATGTTTCGAACTTGGTTAGAAGGATTGGCAGAAGAAGAAGAACCTTTACCTAATGGACTTTTGTTCCTTGCATTTGATAATGAACAAAGAGGACAAAAAAATTATCTTGATCATGGATTTAATACAGTGATTTATCATATAGTCACAAGTTTTGTTGCATTTAATATGGAATCACAGAATGAAATTCAACATACTGATACTCCTTGGTTACATGATTCTTTAAATAGATTACAATATGAAGAAATTTTTGATATTTCTTTTCAAATGGAAGAAGAAATTAATAAAGAATTGTATGCATATCTTTCTGAAATTCTTGGCTTGTTGCATGAGGAAAAATCATCAACAACTAATAATATTGAAGCTCTTATTGCAAATAGTGTTTCAAATGATAATTGTAACAAACAATGTCTAAGCTGTGGTGAAAGGAACATTGAGAATCGAAAACAAACTTGTCCAATATGCAAAACTCAACTACTTACCTTGACAGAATTACAACAACAAATTACAATAGAACCAGAAATAGACTTATCTGATCAACCATTAAAGCCAACTATTTTTAAAATTCATAGGTTTGAAGATGAATACAATAATACTACCAATCCATGTATTAGTGCCACTCAAATACCAATTGCTGATGAAGGTGTTAATGTTCCTGGATTTTATGTTCCTGATCCAATTAACATCAATCCTAATTCAATTTCAAATGTTGAAAAGGTTCTCCATCACATAAAGAAAATATCAGGAATTGAGGATGGAACATGTAAATGGATTGCAGTAGAATGTGATGATGTTCCATATCATCATATTATCAAACTAAAAAGAAATTCAGAAATTCCTTGGTTGGTTCCTATACCTGGACAATTGCATGAGGAAATGAATATGCTTCGAGAATATGTTGAATTAAATTGGTAAATTTATTAATTTGCTTTGTTTTTTAAGAAAATGTCTTTATTTATTATATTGATTTATTTTAATGATTTATTATTATATTTAAATCAGGGAAATTGATCTTAAGCAGTTTGTAATATGCCAAGGCTACAAAACTGATGGTGAGCTTGCCTATTTTAAAGTGTTATGATCATCATAAGTCCTGGGACTCTGTATGTAATATATCAGGGTTGGGAATCGTACACGTACACATGCACGTATCGTACACGTATGTATGAGCTTAAAATTTTTTTAGTACATTGTACGAACATATCATATGATTTATGATAATTTTTATTGGTTGATCAAATGTAATATATATGTGTAACTTTCGTCACAACGAACTATCCCTTAAACGAAATTGCGGCCAAATCTGGCCGCAATTTGCAATTGTGATTCAAAAATTACAAAAAAAGGTATTTTCCTGCGGTCTCACCACAACCCTTCCTATTTGATGAATGATATTCAAAACACCCTACTTTTATTAAAAAAATTTCATTTGGGGTTACATATTACAATTAAAGAAATAATATGTGTAAATTTTCTTTGCTGATCATTTTATTATAAAACAAAATTCCGACAGAATTTGAAATCCTATGAAATACTAATTAAAGGACATTTCTAAAATCATTACTGTTAATTAACTGCTTATTTTTTTTGATATTTTTTGTGTTTTGGAAAATAGACATAATAAATATGGGATTAATACTACATGTGGAATTGAAAACTCCCGAGTTTGTAAATCCAAATCCTTTAATGAATTCATACTAAATTTATTATAAATGCCAGAAGTGTAAGAGACTTCAGACAAGTAAACTAAATCAAATACTCCAATAAAATTCAAACAATTTTAAATTTAACAATTAATTTTAATTTCCCGAAACAACTACTTTTAATAACAAAAATCAAAATGAACCAAGAACAAAATGCTAATATTCTTGATTCCGATGATGGATATTATATTGCTAGTATTACAAGAAGATGGGGTGGACTTTATGATAATGAGTTATCTGAAATTGCTATGTAGATTTCCATACAAGAAGAGAAAGTTAATGTTTCGTTAATTATTTTATTCATTTTTTAATTTGGTTACACGATCTTATGTAGTATAGTGCAAGACACCTAGTCCCACAACTTTTTATTGGCCTTGTAGATCCTTCTCTAACTCCAAAAATGGAAATG